GTTTGTGTTTCAATTTCCACATTCCGATCTATCTCCCGTAACCCCAGATTCCCCTGCCTAACAAGAAGCTGTCCAAATCCACCAGAAAGATATTCACTGATCACATCTCCACTGCCTTTGGAAGCAAAGAGTTCCAAAGTCACACAATACTCAGAGAGAGAAATAAACTTTTCATCTCTCTCCTAAAAGGCTGCCCCCTTAGTTCTGGAGTGACCCACAAAAGGAAACATACCTTTCACCTTGTCTACCTTGTCAGGACTGCTCAGAATTTTGTCCACTTCAATCAAATCACCTCTTACATTTCTAAACCCCAATAGAAACAAGCCCAGGGTGTCTAACTTATCCTCAAAAGGTGACCCATTCATTCCAGACATCTAGACCTTATGTGATCCTTAGATTGTAAGTGGAAGGGAAGATGAGGAGTCCCAGAGATCAAAAGGGCAAGGATAGACAGAGACGGAGGAGTTGATGGTGTGACTGGTGTTGGTCCAGGCAGGGATCAAGAGGGATGCTGTACACAAAAGCTCAGAAAGCATACATGAGGAAAGTGCAGAGGAGCAGAGTCCACGCTAATATCAATATAACAGGGAAAGAAAGTAAATACACTTGCCAAACACTTTGTTTTGCAAGTGTCGTAACTCCTTTCATTTCACTTGTAACACCCAAATCGTGATCAATCCTGTGGACTCCCATCCATTCTTCGTGATTTCAGCAATGGCTCAAGGGCCAGGGCACTTTCTACAACAAAAACGAAAATGGCTATGAAAGTTCATCAGGTCTGGCAGCATCTATAGAGAGAAATCAGAGCTAACTTTTCGGGGTCGAGTGACCCTTCCTCAGTTCTGCCAGACAGGTCGAGCTTTTCTAGCAATTTCTGTTTTTGTTTCTTATTTACAGCATCAGCAGTTTATTTGGGTTTTATTTAGAGGACATTTTCCAACTTGGACTCACATGGGGTTGTGGCTTCGAGTCCCACAGGAAGACCTGACTCTCCCTTGCAGCCCAGACAAGAGTGCTGTTCTGCCAGAGATGCTGTGTGCTATGACGATTTTAAACCTTATCTGGCCCCTGAGAAGGGTGTAGATGGTCCCATTGCAAAATTTTAAAGAGGAGCTGGCGGGAGTCATCCCTGGTGTCTGGGTCAACACTTATACATCAATCTACACTGAAATTGGGATAATCTCGTCATTATTGCTGTTCGTGGGAGCCACGAACAGCAATAATGACGAGATTATCCCAATTTCCTATTCCTAAATATTTCCTACACTGCAACACAGTCTCTGCACTTCAAACACATGCTCTGAAGTGTTTCCAGAAATCCTGAAATTCTGATTAAATGCCTCCCTTATTGTTCCCTTCATTCCAAGAGAGTCAGTTCCAAAATTCGCAAACCTAGGGTAGGGAGTGAATCCAATCGGGTTGGCATCAATCAGATCCATATCAGCCAGCCAGCTAACTGCACCATCAGAGATAGTAAGAACTGTTGATGCTGGAGTCAGAGATAACACAGTGTGGAGCTGGAGGAGCACAGCAGGCCAGGCAGCGAGAGAGGAGCAGGAAAGTTAGGCATCGCAGTGGGGTTATAACTCACTCAGAGATGGTGTCCTGACCCAAAACATCAACTTTCCTGCTCTTCTGATGCTGCCTGACTTGCTGTATTCCCCCAGCTCCACACTGTGTTATAACTGCACCGTCACTTCCTCCCATCCCTAAAGATTTACAGTTGCTATGGCACTTGTATATAAATGATGTGGACTGGAGCTATGGACGCCGATGACAGAGTCTCCACCATTTTTTTGTCTCCATCACATGGCTATTCAGGAATGTCTCCCATCCTGAGGCAAGGTTTGAGGGGATATGGGCCAAGCGCAGGCAGGTGGGACTAGTTTAGTTTGGGATTAAGGGCAGCATGGACTAGTTGGACCGAAGGGTCTGTTTCTGTACTGTATGACTCGAAGACAGCCTGACATTGGTACGTGCCAGGGGGATTTGCAGGATGCTGCTCAACCAATTGGGCAGTGTTATGAGTGCATCTTCCTCAATCCTCAAAGGGAGAAAACCCAAAGCTTCTGGCCAAGAGGTAGGGACTCCGCCCATGGTGTAATGATGCCCTGTAGATACCTTGCCCCCAGTGGTCACAGACTGCAGGGAGGCAATGAACAGGGAAGCATAATTACAGCAACCAATCCCATCTTGGGTCAATTTCCCAGCATGCAGTGCTAAGTAGCAGGAAACCTGATGGAGTTTTTCCCCTTTTCTAGTCCAGGGGCAGCGAGACCAGTTCCAGAACATTCTAGACAGACAGCCATATAGGGCCAGCACAGCTACATTAAACATGGGGGAAGGCGATGGCCAAGTGGTATTATTGCTGGACTATTAATCCAGCAACCCAGGTAATGTTCTGGGTACCCAGGTTTGACTCTTGCCATGGCAGATGGTGGAATTTGAATTCAATTTTTAAAAAATCTGGAATTAAGAGTCTAATGATGACCATTATTTCTATTGTCGATTGTCAGAAAAACTCATCCGGTTCACTAACATCCTTTAGGGAAGGAAACTGCCATCCTTACCTGGTCTGGCTGACATGTGACACCAGACCCACAGCAATGTGGTTGACTCTTAACTGCCCTCTGGGCAATTAGGGATGGGCAATAAATGCTGCCTAGCCAGTGATGCTCTTATCCTGGGAATGAGTAAAGGAACACTGGTTACTATGCAAGATGAAAATAAATAAATTGCTCACCACAAAGATACTGGCCAAAACACACAGCTTAACATGTATACAGTACAATAGTTTTGCTGTCAGACTAATAGTTCAGAGAGAACAAAATTAAATCTCACCCAGAGATAACAAACTCACTCTCATCATTGCAACTAAATTGACTTCTTTTTTAAAACAAATCTGGAAATAACAAACTAGCATTGGTAAAAACAACCATGGAGCTGTCAGGTTTGTATTAAGACCACATTCATGTTCATTTACACGGTCAATCTCACTCGGGCCAGGCCTATATGTGGCTCTGGACCCACATGTGATAATTCTCTACAACTCCGTCTTGTTTTCTGACAAGATACTTGGTTTCATTAAATCTTCATGAGGTCAGCTTAACAACACATTCCCTAGGAACCTACGGATGGGTAATAAATACCTGTCCTGTCAGCAACATGCATGAAGAAATAAAAAGGATCCTTCCTGTTTCGTGACAATACTTTGTGCAGTGCAAATACTGTATGGGATAATAAACATTAATCCAATATTTCAGTGGATTAAAGGACCCATATACAGCAGGGAAATTCAAAATTTAAAATTAAGTTCCATGTATTTATCTTAACTGGGACTATAGTAAGATTCAGAATTGGCAGGGTTTCCTGTTCTTGATCCTATTCCTGTTCCTGATCGTACTCCAGTAACACTGTGTGTGTGTATGTCTGTGTATGTGTGCATGCACACATGGTCAAGATTCCAGCTACCCGATTGATTACAGAGGCAGGAAGTCGACCTTAAAGACACCTCACACAGCTAAAACAGATGAGAATAGACTAATCCACAGTTACATCCAAAGTTAATAAAAAAAAACACTTCTCAACAACACCTTAATTTGAATGTTCTCATCCTCATCTTCAAATCCTCCCTGGCCTTGCTCCTCCCCCACTTCTGTGATTCTTCAGGAAATCTGCCTTCTTGCTATTCTGGCCTCTTGGGCACCTCCCACATGCTTGGTGGCTGTGCTTTCGGTGGCATGGTGCCCAGGCTGTGGAATTTGCTTCCTAAACCTTGCCACGTTTCTCTCCGTCCTTGTTCAACATCTACATCCTTGACTGAACTTTCGGTCTTCACCCCATCGCTTCAGTGTCCAATCATGTGCCTGCCTCCACAGGCTCCTTCGAAATGCCTTGTAGCATTTTACTACGCTGAAGGCACTATACGAATGCAAGTGGTTGTTGATTTGAGGAAGCCTTTGAACAGTGAAGAGGGAAAAGAAAGGTGCCCTCGGGGGGTGGGGGGACTCTTCCATTGAGGACACAGGGAGGTAATGGTGCCATCCACAGTGCACTGAACCACAGGCTGATGATGGTCAGGGATCACAATGGGTACCTCTAAGAATTGGGTGGAAGAGAAACCTTTCAAGGACAGGGGGCCGGAGGGAGAGGGTTCGGTGTTACTGGGATGGGGTAAAACAGGACATGAAGTGAGTGGGGGTCATAGGAGGATATACAGAAAACAAAATCCCAGCAACTGAAGGCCATTTATATAGATTTATAAACATTAAATTAACCACATGGTGAATCAATAGCCTGTGGCTAATATAATTCAAATGATTCGCCCTGTAGCCTCTGTGCATTGACCACTGACCACATTGAAACAACTTCAGAGCAGTCGGTTCAAAACAGTCCAGTTTACAAATTGCTAACACCAGCTCTTTCAAAATGGACATTAATAAAGGTCTTTATTGTTTAAAAAGAAGATATAACCTTAACGCTAGCAACTCCCAGTCAGACTGTACAAGTCAAAGGCTGGAAAAACAATACTGAGAGGCCCAAATATCAAAATGTGGTACATAAATACACACAGACACACACATACACAACACAAACCGGCTAAAGAATGGCGATACTAATTCTTGAACCACACTGATTTTTTTTTAAAAAATACAAGCGCATGATAACAGTGGTTCCAAAACAACAAAGGCTTCCTGATTTCCCCTCCAAGTGTCAGTGGGTTAATTGAGATGAAGGTAGATGCTTTGTATTGACGGCCTCTCTGCGGATGGGGGGTTTCATGAAGAAGGAGGCGGAAATGTACCGACAGCACTGGAGATCTCCAAACAGAAATACCCTGGGATTGGGGAAAGTGGGAACAGCAGTCCAAGTCAATTTCACCAGTCGGAAATTAACTTGGCCCGCGATCCAACCCATCCTCTGCGTCTTTTTTTTTTAAAAAATAAATGACATACAAACAGATACAGAATACGTTTTAAATAAATGATTGGTCCTCTTACCTGATCTCCCCCTTTTTTTTTGTTACACAGCAGCTCCGGGAATCCCAGCCAGAAATCAGGAAACGCTGCAGTTTTCTTTTTTGTAAATGGTTACAAAGGAAATGTCTCAGCTTGTTGTTGCTGTTACTGCTGCCTTGTTTAATTCAGGATTAGCGACCAATCCTTCCCCTCCCCCCCCCCCCCTCCCAAGACCCCCTCCCCACACCCCCCCAAACAACCCTCCCCACCCCCCTCCCCCGAACCTCACCACCGACAGATACTGGATTCAAAGGCCGGCTTCAGGAATACAAAGTAACTGGGTTGCAAAATGTATCTTCTGGAGCGCCCCGCGATCCAACATTTTGTGTTAAAAATGAAAGAAAAAACGCAGAGAGACAGATCAAAGCAAAGGCTTAATGATGATCAAGACTGGAATTAATGCTGGAAGACTGGGGGAAATAATAATTCTGAAGAGGTTCTGTCTCTCACCCACAATACACAAACCTTCTCCGGCCAAGCTATAACAGAGAATGAGGCAGTCCAGGCCGACCGAATGCCTAGGCACCTCCCAATTGAAGACATCTAGAAAAAAAACACACACACGACACAGTACAGGCTAAAAGCTCCACCACTCAACACGAGCAAACTCTGGGATTCAGACTGCCCCACAGAGCCTAGAGCTTACAGTATTTACTCAACCTCTTGTGACTACAGCCACACAGAGCTCGCTGATATTGCAAACCCTCGCCAGCATATTCTCTCACGAACATTTTTCGTCCTGCTCACACACCACCCTTCCTTCTGACTCTTTTTTTCCTTAATTCGTATTTCTTATGACCCTTTGTGTTTCTCCCTTCGCCCTCTCCAGTTTCCAGCGCCAGGAAGAATTTGCGTTTGCATAGCGCCTGTCGTGGCCACACGCCGGAGTGTTTAATTCCGGGCACTTTACTGAAGGAAGGATGTTGAAGCCCCGGAGAGAGTGGAATGGAGACTTACTAGAATGACACCAGGAATGAGCTATTTTAGAATCAAAGGAAAGATTAGAGAAGGAGCAAATTATTGCAGATGCTGGGAGCTGAACTGAAAACCAAAAACATGGTTTCTTTCCATGGATGCTGCCTAACCCACTCCAATTTTTGTTTTCAGAAAGATCAGAGAGATTGAGCTTATTCTCCTTGGAGCATAGAGGGTTAAGAGGTGACCTTATTGAGGTATTCAAAATTATGAACAATTTTGACAGGGAAAAGAGGGATATTCTGTTCCCACTAGTTGGTATGTCAGTAACTAAGGGTCACAGCTTCAAGATTGTCAGTAAGAGAGCTAGGAGAGAGATGAGGAGAAACTTCTTTACTCAGAGAGTTGTTGGGATTTGGAATGAGCTGCCTGGGAGGGTGGTGGAGGTGGATTCCATAGGAGGTTTCAAAAGGGAGCTGGATATATATCTGAAAGTGACGAATTTAGAGGGCTACAGAGATAAAGCTGGAGAAAGGGACTAGCTGGGTAGCTCTTTTGGGAGCCTGTACTCACACAATGGGTTGAATGGCCTCTTTCTGTACTGTAAAATTCTATGACCCCAGGACTTTCAAAAGCCTCTTCATGGCTAGATGCGGGTACGTTGTTTTTGTGTTACCCTGTTTGTCACATAGGGACCATTTAGATGCACAGCAAGCTCCCACAAACAGCAATAAGATAAAAACCAAAAGAACTGCGGATGCTGTAAATCAGGAACAAAAACAAAGTTGCTGGAAAAGCTCAGCAGGTCTGGCAGCATCCGTGAAGGAGAAAACAGTTAACGTTTCGGGTCCGGTGACATGAGGAAGGGTTCTGAGGAAGGGTCACCGGACCCGAAAAGTTAACTCTGTTTTCTCCTTCACAGATGCTGCCAGACCTGCTGAGCTTTTTCAACAACAATAAGATCATGGTCTGTGCAAGTGAAACTGTCGCAAAACAATATAAAACAGGGCAGAAGAGGAGAAGTACCAACAGAACCTTCTGGAAACACAATGGGTCAGGCAGCATCTCCAAGGTAACAACCCCAGTTCATAATCTTGCAGTTCTACTGATAGGTCTGGAATAAAGAGAAACTAGTCCAGTAGTGACTACATAACTATTGTCAATTGTTAAAATAAACCCCCTGAAAAATCCAAAGAACTGCAGGTGCTGGAAATAAGAAACAAATACAGAAATTGCTGGAGAAATGCAGTAGGTTTGGCAGCATGTGTGGAGAGAATGCAGAGTTAGCATTTCAGGTCCAGTAATTAACTGTGATAAAACTTAATTTACAAAGGGAAAAACGGTTACATTACAAAACTTAAACTCTGTTTTTCTCTCCACTGATGCTGCCAGACATGCTGAGTTTCTCCAGTACTTGCTGTTTACATTTCAGATTTTCAACAGCTGCGATATTTCGGTTCTGAAAATTGGTAGAATTTTGTTTATGCTGTTATGACTTGGAGAACATTGCCTAAAACTGCATGTTTTATAAATTGTGCGTTGTTTTCACAGTTAATGTGCTTTTATTTTCATTCATTCATGGGAGTTATTGATTAGGCCAGCATTTATTATCCTAAGTGCAGTGAAGAATCAACCCCATGGAATCACATGTAGGTCAGACCAGATTAGAATAACAGATTTCCTTTTCTAAAGGATATTAGTGAATCAGATATTTTTTTCAAATCAACAATTCGACAGAAGTTGCATGGTCATAATTAGACGAGCTTCTGATATTGCAGATTCTGACTAAATTTCAATTTCACTATCTGGGATTTGAACGAATATGTAGGTGCTAAGATCACTAGCCCAGTGATATTACCACATCTTCTCCATTAAAGGGCTGACAGCATGTTTGGTGAGAGAGACATAGTTAATGTTTCAAAATCCCTCTTCTCAGAAGAAGTTATACTGGAGTCAAAACGCTAACTTTGTTTCTCTCTCCACGGATATTGCCAGGCCTGCCAAGTTTCACTTGCACTTAACAGTTTATATTTAAAATCTCCAGTACTTGGTATTTAATTTAACCCCTACAATGTGGGATAGGCCATTTGGCCAAACAAGTCCACACCAACTCTCCAAAGAGCATCCCACCCAGACTCACACCCCCCTACCCTATTGCCCTTGGCTAATCTACTTAACTCACACATTCCTGGGCACTATAGCAAAGCCAATCCACCTAACCTGCACAAGTTGGACTGTGAGAGGAAACCAGAGCATCTGGAGTAAACCCACGCAGAGAATGTGCAAACTCCACACAGATAGTTGCCTGAGGCTGGAATTGAACCCAGGTTTCTAGCACTGTGAGGCAGCACTGCTAACCACTGAGCCACTGTGCTTCCCAAAGCCATTGTGCTGCCCAAAGTCTACAAAAATCTGCAGTGGCCTTTTGTGACACTCTCAGCTTTGAGTTAGATGGTTATAGGTTTGAGACCCACTCCAAAGACATGGGCTGCAGCCTGAGGGGCGTCCTGCAATGTTGGAAGTGCCAGCATACAGGTAAACATTTGAATTGAGGTCCTGATTGACTCCTTAGGTGGATTATAAAGCTTCCATAGGCCACTTCATCAAAGGAGAGGCCCCTAGGTGGCCTGGCATTTATTCCTCAAATCATATCGTTCCAGCCAGAAAATCGGGCCTTTCCCCCCTTGCTGCTTGTGAGAGCTCGCTTCATGCAAAGTCGTGCCATGTTTTGGCCATTTCAACAATGGTTGCCCATCAAAAATATAACATTGTCTGTCAGATGTTGCTATCACACTTTCCTTCAATCAAACACCACAGTTAACTCAATGTTGAGCAAAGGCGGAGGTGGGGTGAGGCACTTGGGAGGGAGGGTGGCTGGTGGTGGTGTGAGCTAACACCAATAATCCAGATTTATTGTCAAATAAGGAGCTGTGAAGAGTGGAAGTCTGTGACAAAACCAGAAATTGCTGGAGAAACTCAGCAGGTCTGGCAGCATCTATGGAGACAGAAAGCAGAGTTAACGTTTCAGGTCCTATGACCTTTCTTCGGAACTAGGAGACCTGAATCTGGTTCAGAATCTAGGCACCTGCACTAATACCCAGGAGACAAACATTCAAATGCCACATGGCAGCTGGAGGCATTTTAATGGAATTCATTAATTCATCATCAATAAAATTCTAGCGTGATTTCGACTGATCATGAATCCACCAGATTATTGTTTTTAAAAATCCATCTGGTTCACTAATGTCCTTTAGAGAAGGAAATCTGCCATCCCTACCTGGTCTAGGCTGCATGTGATTCCAGAACCACAGCAATGTAGCTGACTTGCAACTGACCTTGGTACAGACTGAGCAAGACGCTCGGATCAAGGGCATGTGAGCATCAAAAATAGGACCATGAGGGGGCCATTCAGCCCCTCAAGCCTGCTGTACCATTCAATTGCATCATTGCTAACCTGATTGGTCTCAACACTCCTTTCTTGCTTGCTGCTCGTACTTGTTGACTCCTTTGTTGATCTAATCTCTGCCTTGAATGTATTCAATGACTCAGCCTCCTGGAAGGAGAATTGTAAACATTAGTGACCCTTTGAAAGGAGATAAATGTTGGCCCCGCCAATAACATCCGCATCCCAAGAATGAATATATAAAAATCCAAAATATGACATGGATCTGGAAAGCTGTGGTTTCCTCGCCCTGCAGATAATGACACACTATTTCCACTCGTGAAAACATCGAGAGGCCACAGATTTAAGGCATGTGGTAAAAGAAGTAAAAGTGAACTGAGAATAAGAGATGGTAGGAACTGCAGATGCTGGAGAATCTGAGATAACAAGGTGTAGAGCTGGATGAACACAGCAGGCCAAGCAGCATAAGATGAGCAGGAAGGCTCACTTAACAAGTAATTAGGGTCTGGAATGCACTGGCACTGAAAGTGTCGTGGAGGCAGGTTCAATCAAGCTTTTCAAGAGGGAGTTACATTGTTATCTGTAAAGGAAAATTTAGACATTAAGATGCAAGAGCAGAAGGAGGCCATTCAGCCCAACACGCCTATTCTGTCATTCAATAAGCTCATGGCTGGTCTATTAATCCACAATTCTATTTTCCTGCCTTTTCTCCATAACTTTTCATTCCCTTATTGATTAAAATTCTGTCTATCTCTTAGGGGTTTTGAATCTGTGGAATTTTCTATTGAGGCTGGGTTATTGAGTAAATTC